CGGCAGGATAGGAACATTTATGGTGGGTGGCAGGACGGGACTCCGCCCCCTGGGCGGGATTTGTGTGAAAAACGTGAACGTGGACCTAGAACGTTCAAATTTGGTAGGAGTGCAGGCGGCAGGAGGGAACACTGAAAGTGGGTGGCAGGACGGGACTCCACCCACAGGGGGTGGGGTTTGTGCGGAAAATCATAACTGCAGTACCCGTGGGCCTAGAGCGTCCAAATTTGGTAGGAGTACCCAGGATAGGATGGGCACGCATATAGTAGGTGATAGAATTGAGCTCCGCCCATAATAGGCGGGGTTTGTGTGGAAAACTTGAACTTGGACCCATAGCGTTCAAATTCGGTAGTAGTACAGGAGGCAGTATGGGAACACTTATGGCGGAAGGCAGGACCGGACTACGCCCACAATGGGTGGGATTTGTTCAGAAATTCATAACTCTTGTCCCTGTTGGCCTAGAAATTTCAAATTTGGTAAGAATCCCCAAGATAGGATGGGAACGCTTATAATGGGTGACAGGATTGGCTCTGCCCCTAATGGGCGGGGTTTGTGTGAAAAACTCAAACTTGGGCCTAGAGCGTTCAAATTTGGTAGGAGTACAGGCGGTAGGATTGGAACACTAATAGTGGGTGGCAGGACCGGACTCCGCCCACAGTTTGGCCAGAAATTCATAACTCCTTCAAGGGGCGGGGCTTGCAGAGAAATGTCAAAATGGATCTAGAGCGACCAAACTTGGAAGAATACAGGAGGCAGGATAGGAAAATCGATGGAAGGTTGCAAGACTAAACTCCGCCCTAAAGGGCTGGGCGTGAATAAATACTATTAATTCGGACCCAGACCGTTGAAACTTGAGGACGCAAGGAGTCGGCTGGGAACATTGATGGTAGCTAACATAGTTGACTCAGCCGCGATGAAGTATCTGAATACTTTTTTCTCTGAGTAATCGCATTTGTGATATTATGCGATGTTCTATTCGGACACAGCGAAGATGGCTTACAGAAAAAATCGCTCCTCATTCGGAGCTAATACTGAGGGTGTAGAGCTTTCAAAGAAAAAGGTGAATCCGAAGTGTTATTTACGCATAGCAAATTTCTCACAGGAAGGAGCGCGGGCGAACCCATAAGAAGGAGGGAAGCCGGCGGCCCGACTGGTATTCATGAAACGGTGTGCAAACTGACACTATCTTTAAAAAATTCACAAAAGTTGAGGTGAAGGGTGTTGCGATCAAAATATGAATATGGAGGTATGTTGTGATGAGGAATCTGCCAGTGTTTGCCAAAAAATTGCGATTCTGGCTGCTTCCTCCAGAATCGCAAAAATCGCGGGTGGCCTTATAATTATGAAACGCACTGTAGTCTGAGAAAACACAAAAAAAAAATTTGTGCCACTTGGAGCATTTTAATGAGACCCTTTTGGCATAATTTATAAGAACCACCACCTTTTTCCTCGGATGTTCCAAATAATAAGCCTGCTTCTTCTCCGGCTCTCCTTCGTGCACATTCCAATTTGGAAATTGTTTTTGGAGAGGAATGCTTGCCGAAAACACATCATAGTAGGGATCTTACAAGGTTTATCGCAACAATGCTGTCTGTTTCTGATCAATCCATCAAAGATTCGAGGACAAAATCCATCTTCATGAATGGGAAACGCTTTATGTTTTGTTGGACCTTCATCCCACAAGCCACGAAGGTTCAGAGATGAGTTAAGCAGTTCCCTATCTCCTGGAGAGCCTAACAAAGTAATAGAGCATGTTGTTTACACACCCATCCTTGAGGTCAAGTTCCACTAAGATGTCGCAGAAGAAGTGATAAGTCATCCACAAAGTAGCACGTACGCTTTGTGGATGATTTATCACTTCTGTAACAATTCAATGTAGCCTTAACTCGAAGAAGGGTTGTATAAAATTTGGATTGCTTCTGGGACCATGTGGCCCGCCGACGAGCCCAGCCACAGCTTGCGAAGAGCGCGCACGGTTTCACACGCTAGACATGCTAAAAGGCGCGGTCGACAATAGGTTAAGCGAGTAAAAGATAAATAATTGAAGAGAATAACAACAGTAAGATAACAATAGTCAGAAAGTAAAGTGTCTGGAAAAAAAANAAAAAAAAGCTCGAAAACTCCAACTCGAAAAGATCCCTAATAAGCTAAAGGCACAGTCCACGAAAAAATGGTCTTTGCTATTTTCTCTAGAATGAGTTCGAGGTTTGCTCCCTTAGCAGTTTTAGACAATTTTGCGCAATTGTAACAACTGAAATATTGTCCAAATACCCATTCCATACCTCTTTCATAATGCTGTTCTCATACAGCCTCTATTTCCACTACTTTTGAAAAGCCTTATTTTTCCCGAAGTGATGGATTCTCCTGTTTTTCCACCAAATGCATTACTCTACATCAACACTTCCTCTTCTCAACTCAAAATGGGTGCCTTAAAATTATCGTGAACTGTGCCTTTAAGAGTTTCATTTTCGGGCACAAATGAAATGTGAAATTAGGAGCGAAGCGTATGAAAAATCTCGTGTGCGCCCATTACAGAAATTTTAACAGCAAATTCATTGAACTTATCTATTTTGCACGAAAATAAAGCCTTGAGCAGTGATAATGAAGTTTATCCCTGTAAAACCCTCAATTATTATAGGAATTTCACATTCTTGTTGTTAATATTAGCGTCAATTATCAATCCAGCAGTTGGGCTATACAAGCTATATGACCACGACCGTTTATCTATGCTGGAAACATTTAGCGGAAACTTGGATTATCAGAAGAAGATAGTTTTCTCTAGACTTGATTGTTGGATTGCTTCAAAAGCATCACGCCCGACATATTTCATTTGAAAATAATTCTGCTTTTTATTAGTGGTTGATCATAGCTCCGTCCATCTCAAAGTAGACCCTTCCCACTATGAAATTTGACCACCACTCTTCTGAAAGCTCCTAACCATTTTCTCCACATTCTAGGAAGTTTTTGGAGAGTTGTGGATTTTTGGTTTTAGCCCGCCTTTTTAACACGTTGACGACAGCGCGGGACACATCTGTCCCGCGTTTTGCAGGCCACGTGGGACAGCGCGGGACACGTGTCCCGCGCTTATTTCGCATTCTTTTTTTGCTCGTGCGTGATTTTTTCATATGTTTTTTGTATTTATCCTACTTACTATAAAGCGCTTCGTCTGTCTGTCTGTCTGTCTGTCTGTCTGTCNAAATCCATAACTCCGGTTCCCATGGACCCAGAAAGTTCCAACTTGGTAGGAGTACGGGCGCCATGATGGGAAAACTTAAGGTTGGTGGTAGAACCAGACTCCGCCCACAAGGGGCGGGGTTTGGGCGAAAATTCATAAATCCGATAAAGGTCCATGATGAAAATCAGCTCATGCGGCCCCGTCTCTCACGGCTAGAGCCCCTAGCGCGCGCGAGAGCGTGCGTAGCCGCCTGGTGTTAAAGATAAGACAGTAACGAAGCTATAAACAGAGTGGTCCATGAAATGATCAGATATGCTTCATGTTCACATAGGTTTTCTAAGTCTGACAATATTTTGGGCCTACTTCTAACTTCGACACTTTTATTGAGATCAACAAGCAGGTAAATCGAAAACATTGAGAGCAAGCTATTAAATTTAAGTTTAAACAGCATGAAGGAGTTGTAGTTCTAACTAATCTACCTATTCTAGTTCTGGCATGATTTGTGTTTTTTATTAAAGCAGTTAACACAGGACTTCTTGCATTTACTACAACGAGTGTTCACCCTTCTTGCTCTATTCGTGGCAGCCGATCGTCCCTGTTCTTTCGACATTATAGCGTAACATCCTGAACATCTTCTTCTGCTGAGAGCTTTTGGGAACGGCACCTCCTCCAGTACATGCCTCGCTGGTTGGAATTGACGAGCCGGTGGATACTCTCGTTCTTGACATAGTAATGAATCGATCACATCCATTTTGAAGTCGTTTAGTCGAACATTCTTGATTACGTCCCTGTACAGTTTCCATGCATTCACAACTGCTGTTTGGGTCAACAAGTGGAAAAAAAAACTTTTGTACCATTTTGCTGTCTTTCGCACAAATGGAGTATATGCTGCCATCTGGTCGGACACGTCAACAAAAGATTTCATTTCGTTGTAATTCTCTACAACAGTCGGTTTCTGTGACGATCCGATCGCAGCGTCGTGTTCTGCGGAGATCATGTACAAGTCCCTCTTGTCTCTCCATTTGAGCACCATGATGCCGTTTTGTCTCTGTTTATAGCATATCTGACCTCTTTTCGATTTCTTATCTTTGATCGCTTTCGGGATCCCTTTCCTGTTCCTTCTCAAAGTGCCAACTAGATGAGTTCGTCTTGAAATCAGCTTCTCCGCAAGACCGATACTAGAGTAGTAGTTGTCTGTGCATAGAACGCGTCCTACTTCGAGAAAACCTTCCATTAGCTCCATAACGACTTTGTCGGCGAGTGGTTCCTCCCTTGACGCGTCTCTACCAGCGTAGATTTTGATCCTTACTGTGTAACCGCCCTTGCTGCATAGCTTGAATATCTTGATGCCGTATCGATGTCTCTTAGCCGGTAAGTATTGTCTAAAAACGATCCTTCCCCGGAATGGAACAAGAGATTCATCGATGCACAGTTCTCTTTCAGGTGAATAACATTCAGCTGCAGCTTTGTTGAATATTTCCGCCAATTTCCTGATTTTGTGTAGTCGGTCGCCGTCAAAGGTGTCACTGCTAAATGTAGATACTTCGACCCAACTCTTCGAACCTGGTTCTTTTCATGATCTTGCCAGCTTGGCCACCTAGACAAGGTCGTGAGCTCCAATAATCGCGTAAATTCGGCATCTTTACCAGACCCATCTGCAAGCACAAGCCGATGTATTTTCTCATTTTATCAGTGCTAGTTTCTTGAAAATCTTCACTTTGCCGAGTCCCGTAGCGGTTGGTTTCTGTGACGATGAGGTCCATAATCTCTCGATTCAGAAACAGTTCGTAGAAGTCTATCGGCTCTTGACAGTCATAAACAGTATCATGTAAGCCGGTGACCCCACTAAAATCCCATGCATCATGCGGAGAAGCATCGCTTGACCACGATGAAACGCTCTCATTATCAGATTGCACTTCTGATTCAGATTCTGTATCTTCTTCCAACTCATCTACTTCTTCTTCAGTAGTTCCTTGCTCTTCGTCGTCCGAAACTATCAGGAGGTCGTGGAGTTGTAGAGTATCTTCCACGTTTTCTTCTATTCCAGCCATTTTTATGTCTGTATAAGCGTTTGTTAAGACGTAACCTTTCTTATATAGAACACTTTTGTGTATTAATCATTTTAGTAATCAACTTACTAAGTGGTCGCCTTCGACAAGTAGCTAGAAGTAGGTTTCACTCTCAAATTTTGAAATGTTTTCAAAAAGCGCGCCTCAAGGGACAGCGCGGGACATGTGTCCCGCGGTCGCTGCATCAGCGAAATCGTGACGGTACCACACGGCCAAAAATGTCCAAACGCGCGTTGTCGTCAACGTGTTAACCACATTTGATATACTACCTCTAACCAATTTTCTCCGCGTTCTAGAACGTTTCCGCCCCTCAGCTTTACACATTTTTCCCGGCATCTGGACTGTTATGAGACCGAATGAGAAAGATCTGCCCGTGGCCCCGCCCAATTCCGGTTCTCAGCCCGGCCCTTAGGGGCGAGTTCCGCCATTCCCCTATGTGCTCTGTTAATCTTACCCTATACTTAACCTATCCAAACTTGAACGAACCTTTCCAGGTGTTTCTTCAAGTTATATCGAATTTTCGCACAAGCAAACAGACAGACAGACGCCAGCGCTTTATATGTTCTAAGGATTGTTCGCTAGTGATTATGTGCGCAGAATAATGATCATGAAGTATTCACACCTAACTAAGATCACCTCGCCCGAGGTAGAGCGGCGTTGATCACTGGTTGATAATAAACGAGAGCTCTGAAGGGGACCACCTAACATTTGCACACTTTAAGGTGCTAGTTACGTAACATCTGAGGAGCTAATTAAGAATACTTGATAGAAGAATAATATTGTTCTCGCTTAACCAATAACAACAAAAGCTACTTATCACTATCGCGAAGAAATGTTCATAAACCAAGAAGCCTTTAAATGAGGTATGCCTATTTTGTCTCCTAAATGTGATCAGAGGTGCCGACATTCTTACACTTGGTCTTGAGAGATATAGAATTCCATTTAGATATCAACTACACTAACTATTCAGAACTAGGTTTTACTTGTTGAATGTTCCGCAAATATTACACATATCAGACCTCGGTATCTCAAAAATCGAGAATGTCTATAGTTTTTAGCAGTAGCCCAAGATTTTTGTGGCTTTTCATCCAGACTTTTCATCCGATTCTTGATGAACGATTTCATTTTGCATGCATTAGCTAATAAGAAATGAATTTCGATAAGAACCTGTATAAAGTATCGTTCAGTGTATTTCAATCGCCAAGGCCACGCTATAATCTCGAACACAAAGAACTTTGAAAACTAATAAGCATTTGACCGTTGGAATATAAGACGCACTGAATGCTTTAATTGATTGCTCGAATAAAACACTTTGGCGTTTACCTACTTTCAAGCCGTCAATTTTCAAACTCACCGTTTATCCATCTGTAAAAATTACGTATTTTTTGCGAATAACACAACATGTTTATTGTTCAATTAACGATATTTAAGAACAGATTGCAATTCAATTAATTGATCAGGAGATCTGATTACAAAACAAGATTAGCCTAACACACTGAATTATGATATTACAGGCGATTTAACATGTTTTTACGAAGTTTGAGGATGGGGAAAAATTATTTTAGTGCTCGTCCGCTCGATGTAGTCGCCCGCAGCATTTTTAGGTCATTATTTTTGGTTTTTATTTTCTTTATTTTATCATGGAAGTCACGGATCCTAAATAGGCAGCATATTTATAATCGTATTGAAGCGACAATTTTATATAAAATTTTACAGTGCGTTCCTCCTTTACTGTTATTCTCGTTGCATACAGAAAACGGGACAAGAAAACCAGGTCTCTTTCAAAGATTTGCTTATCAAAACACTAAATGCCTTTCTGACCAATCGCACTCCACTAGACGCGCCAGACCCAGTACTACCTCTCCCCATTTACGTGGGATGCAACGAAACTAACAGCTTATTGATAAACCGATCTTTGCCCCTGAGTACGACACGTCCATAACATCCAAAAAAGACTGACCCGAAGGATGACAAATGATGATGGACAGCACAGGTGATGAACTTGACAAATGAGTAACAACGTAATACGAACCAGCACTGCAAAGCTTCGAAAGAAAAACTGAAACCTCAGTACGGTCGGAATCTGAAACAGATCTATTTTCAAATGGGTTATCAAGAAAACCTTTCAATACAACGCATTTAATTATTCTCATTCAACTCGCCCTCTTGCTCTGCCTGCTCCCCCTGGTCCACCGCGTCCACGAAAACCTCCACGAGGGCCCCCACGGCCACCACCGCGCCCGCGATCAGTAAAACCTCCACGATTTGCACCTCCACCAAACGAGTTCTGGTTCTGCTGCTTTTCACCACCATCTGAGCGAGAGGATACTGTGTATTAAAAATATATGAAATATATTATGCTCCAGAATCTTACCGCCATTTTTGCTGTCACCACCCTCTGTTGGCCCAGAGTTTCCCGTTCCATTTTCACCTTCTTTCAGATGACCAGGCGTGGTATCTTCACGAATCTGAGAAAAGAAAAGACTAGTTAAAAACGCACCAGTCAACACATTTTCTTCCACATTCAAAATCTATTTTCTTTATTCACTTACTGGCTGCAAAATGCGGTTTAATTCTTCCAACACGCCAGCAACCCTCTGATAAGCAATATGGGCAGGTGCAATGGTTTCTACCTGAAGTGATTTGGGGATGCACCAGAGTGACCTCACATATAAGCACCACACTTTATCGTGACTTTTAATTTTCCGTTTCTCACCTTGACATGCAGTGGGCCACCATAGTGTGCGTACTGTGGATCTCCAGAATTGAGGAGCTCTTGTTCCTTATTCCTATCCTTTGTAGAGCCGCGTCCAAGTACATAGATATGACACTTGTGCTGCTTTGCCATCGCTTGCAATGACGCCCCTTTGGGTCCAAGGATTTTTCCAACAAAGTTGAACTTAAAACAAATTTCCATGTCAACAGCCTGTACAGAGTTGAAACTGTAAATATACATACTCTGGGATGACGGAAATTGGGAATAAGCACTTTCTTTGTGACTTTGATTGGTTTCGGAATGTCAACCTCCAACCATTCCGGATCAATATTGTTTTCCAGTTTATCAGACTCTACAACAAGCGTTATATCATACCCCTGGTAATTGAGACTTTCCATAAATTCCTAAACATGAAGAGTGACGGACAGAGCGAAAGGCATAAAAGAGCTACATATTTCGCAAATATCTTTCCTATCACTACTTAACACTACTTAATTGCACGAAGTTCCACCCTTCGCGTGTCCGATGCCTGGATAAAGAAGTTAGGGCACAGACACGGGACGACTGGCTGGCTAGCTAGTTCACGCTACGCTATGCATCCTTGCAAGTGGCACGCAAATTATGCTCCGCTCAAATGCTAGAAACGACAGCATAGAACTGAAACCGCTACGCAGCCACGCACAGGCGACGAGAAAAGCTTTTCGATATTTCCTGCTCCATAACACTAACACAAAACAAGCACACACAAACAACAACAAACAAGCACAAAAACATACAAGCACAGACAGAATCACATACCAGCAGCTAACAGACGGCGAGCATTTTTGAACTGTTCTCCATACTCTCCAGATGCATCGAACAAGCCGAGTTCGTTATGAATCTCTCTTATGACAACCTATACAGATGTTTGTTGTATTAGACCAGATTGCTACATTTTTTTATTCCCTGCGAGCGTAAATCTTGTACACAGGGCAACCCACCTGAACTTCAGCATCAAGCGGACTCTGCGCAACGTCATAACCTGGCCCTCCGAAACCCGGCGGGCCCCCAAAACCTCCTCCAAATCCACCTCCTCCGTATCCTCCAGGCGGGCCTAAAATAGGGAGGTGAGAAAAAATCAGCAGCTTTATGCACATATGAATGACGTCATAACCTGGCCTCCTAAACCTGGTAAAATAGCTTGCGAAAGCAATAATAGAACGTACCGGGAGGGTAGCCTCCTCCACCGTAACCATCGTATCCATCATACTGAAAGTTAGTAAACATCTGATTGAACATTATAGTTGAACATTAAACCTACGAAACTCTGTTTTCACTCTGAATTGAGGGTAGGAGTCCAACGGAGCTATACAAGTAATGTGTAGTAGTATTTTCGACAATGATTCATACTTCTAAGAATGGTTGAAGGATACGCAAGAACTATAAGGTCACGTAAAGCGGGAGGGAGCAAGTCATAATGAACCTAAAAGCTGTACAGGCCCGAGGCAAACTTTGCACTTTTCTCCACCTGATTCACTTTGATACTGTGGGCTATGTTGAGCACTCAACAATATCTTCAGTTTCGACGCTTACAGGTACTGGCATCCCCTAAGCTCATATATAATAGTCGTCGACGGCACGTACCGCCCTAATACCAAACTTTATTTTGAATTCTAACCATTTTTCTGGATTCCTTCATACTCATCCCAGATAGACTCTAATAAGATTGCTGAGGTCTTGAAGGCTCTATCTCATTAATATTACCTCATTAGAAGATTGGATCTCCAAAAATTTATTCTGGTACTTTGATAGTCCTTGTACACCATTTCGTTTGCATAGAGCTCGTACACTGCGAAGCCAGAGAAAAAGTTCTATACCGAATCGTTGTATCACCGAGTCCGAGCTACTTATACTATCGGCTTGTCCGTTGGTGTATATGTGTACGTATGCATGTGCGTATGTGTATGCATGTATGTATGTGTGCATGTGTGTGCGTGCGTGTACACAAGTATGTATGTCTAGCCGGAAACTCATAACTCCTGTCCCCGTGGGCCTAGGCGTTCAAATTAGGTATGAGTACAGGCGGAAGGATGGGAACACTTATGGTTGGTGGCAGGACCGGAATCCGCCCACAGTGGGCCGGTATGAGCGGCTATTCATAACTCTGTTCCTATGTACCTTTGAGCGTTCAAATTTGGTAGGGGTAAAATGGCAGGGCTGGCAGGATGGGAACACTATTGATGGATGGCAGGACTCGACTGGGCGGGCGATTGTGAAATTGGCACTTTGGACCTGAGACATTCAAATTTGCTAGGAATAAAGGAAGTATGGGATTGCTGATGGGAGCTGACATGATTTGGTTCTACCCACAGGAGGCGGGACGGGTGGCGTGATGAAATGAGCGTACATTGTGTGGAAACACGCGGTCAAATTGGAATAAGAGGGAATGAACCCAACGCAAAAAGTGTGTCGGTGAGCGTGCGTTTCGCTGAAAAACAATAACTTCTGTTTTCTTGGACCAGTGAATTTAGACCACCTTTTATTACGCAACGAGTCACAATCAGCTCTCTCCCATGTTTTCTTCAGATTTAATGTTGGGGACAACGTCTTCTAACACTCCCTGCGAAGGCTACAATGGCTGCGAGGTTGCTTAAAATTTTAAAATTAACATTCTTGGATTAGAAAATTCAAATGACGACACTGCGAAAGCGATTGCATTGTTAAATCTGAACATCATCATCATGTCACTTTCGACTCAGTCACCGCTCAAACCCACACTCATTCTACACGACACGAATGATGGGCGGGGGTGGTATGGTGGCAAGTGGCGCACTTCACATACGCATGGTCACGGGTTCGAATCCCGGACCAATATCGCCTAGGCCAACAAGTCTTCCATCCCTCTAGGGTAGGTTAATTGGTACCGGATCCGTCTGGGTGAACTAAAGCACTGACTTGAACATCGGCCTACCACCGCAAGTCATTGTGTAGGCCACATACTCATTACGCCACTACGATTCTGAATGGAAGTCGAATGCGGGGCGCATCCCTCAGACGAGATTGATTAACGCCAAAAACTTTACCTTTAACGTATAATGTTAATACTCACCCCTCCGCCGCCTCCGTATCCTCCACCACCACCATAACCGCCACCAGCTCCGCCGCCACGACCACCACCACCACCGTAATAGTCGTCTCGTCCTGCCATCTGAAAATAAATAAATGCAAGCACAAAAAAAGGACATATCTAGATTTATGCAATAAAACGCTTGACAAGACTCAACAAAAGTTTCAGTTCGATACAGCAAGCCAACAGGATAACGAAAGATTTCGCATTCGCTCACAAGTCCTCGATTTTTAATGAACCCAAACCCGCTACCTCAGAACCTGAACTCTGTTGACTCACAGCAGCAAAAGAATGCCTTTTTTTCTACAAAGCCTTACAACGCTAGTAAACGTTGTAAGGCTTTGTAAAAAACGTGGCTTGGTTACTTTTCCAGAGAACTCCAAAAGAGTATTTTGAACCCTTTTTTTCAGCTAAAGGCATGAGTATCGATGACATGATGCACGAATAGAGAGGAATGAAAAGCACTGATGCTGAGTCGTGTGCAAATGACGAAGTAATCAGAAAAAACGCCGCGAATCCTCAAATCGGGCTCGCTTTCCGCTTCTTGATTTTCAACATTGTACAACGTGGTCGCTACCATATTTTGCCTTTGAAGAGGCTCCAGAGTAGCTGTGAGTACTTCGGCAATCTGTTTGACACAACGTTGCAGAGTTGAATGCCGTGCTGACCGACCGACAGCTGCACGCTACATGTTACAACGCAGGACAGATTGCGTTCAGGGTCACGTGCGCGGTAGCGGTTTAGAACACAACCCTCTCCGCGTTGTCAACACTCGGCCTGCAACGCTGTCGGTTAGTCGATCGCCACGCCTTAAACTCTAAGTCACCCACTCATCGATTTCCTCGCAAATGCTGCGCTTCCTCGGTTAGATAGTATTTTATGAACCGATTCTTTCTTCATTCCAGCTTTTCGCATGGGGATAGCATTTCACTCAAAACAGGGCCTCTTCCCTCATTATGTTAGGCCAGAAAACCCATCCTGGCTCTGAGGCGTTTGACACAGTAATACCACACAATAAAACTACAATGAGTGCTTTTCATAAGCGACCCAAAATTTTCGTGCTACAAATGAAACTGACCAGTGCTACTGGTTCACCAAAAACTAACAGCAGCTGCAAAAGCCCTGTGGTTCTTGTATATGTTTCATCGTAATGCTCGAATGAGCCAGACATGATAGCCATCAAAGGCCCTTCCCAAATGGAAGAAGACATTGTAAGTGTCGGTTCTCGACACAACACATCTATCTAGCTCGGAGGGCGCATTTGCTGCACTGAGCGTTTAATTTTTCGGCACATTCGCACAAGGTCAGAAATGCCAATCACAGTGTACATCTCTCGAGCGCATATGCTCGTTCTCGACGCTGACTGGAGAGGCTGCCCCCCCCCCTGCCCCGCGTATCGGCGTATCGAAGAAGGTTATAGAAGATGAATGGTTGGGTGGGCCATGCAAGGTTTAGATTTCAAAATAGGCGCCCTATTGAATGATGGGATTTGGTGCTACTTAGGCGATCATAGCGGTAAGAAGTTGCTCCCGTTCGCACAACCAGCACTTGATGCATGGCGTAGGAATCCATGAGCATTTCTGCAGGAGAAAACCCCGCAGTTGTGATTACAACTTTTTGATGTCCGCTACAACGAAAAAACAGATAATGGTTGATCTGCTGAGAGCTTGGGAATTCCTAGAGGTAGTAAAAATAAAGCAGCAAAAAGAAAGTATCGAGACGATTCCAGTTTAAATTTCTTCCACAGAAGTAAACACAAGTGTCGCGCTCAACTCGGGGCTGGGTGCCACTTCGTCAATGATGTGCGTGAAAGACTGAAATCGCTGCAGCTCAGAAGAGAACAAAGCCACTCAGGTTTTCGTCTCAACAAAAGCACGTTTTCAGTAACACCTAGATTTGAGAATCGCGCTAGAACCATCTCCAAAAAGTGAAAAGCATTTATTCATTTCTCTCCGGAATTTTCGATCATCGTCGAATAGCCAACAAGCTCCTTCCTGTGGTTGTGAAACTAGATGAGGTGAAGCCACATAAAAACCCGACGAGCCTTAAGGCTCGTTCACACTTGATTTTCGTTGTGACAGAGGTGGGGGAGAAACCAACAAATACTAACTAAACGAACGCAGTTTCGTTAATGTTGCTCCATGGTCAAGGCGTGATCTGAAGTTTCAGTCTCTGGAGTAGGTTAGCGTTGATCGAACAGGTCAGGACATCGAAAACCCACTCCCTACACAAATCATGCCCTCCAATCCTTAGCATTCAAGTAAGTTGAGGATCCCATAGTAGCGACAATAATGCTCAGTGAACAGGAATTTGATTGATACACCAAACTTGGGCAAAGGTGAAACTGTAGACACCAACTACTATAAGACCTCCCTGGTCCTTCAAAAGGAGAACTCCACAGAACAGACAAATTTGATTTGACCCAATAATTTATAGGTAATAAGCTAGTGGTAATCGCAAGTCCCGCTAGCTTCGGATCTGTTTACCAACCGCATGTTTATCCACGTGGCTTGCAGACAGAAGCTGAAAAAAAGATCAGCATAAGCACACAGAGATCAATCCCAACACAATAACTCAACGAGAAAAGAACAGATACTATGTAGCTAGCAGATGCCAACAGGAAGCGATGGGCGTCGCCTCTGCGCGTCCCACCACAGAAGGCCGAACTCTCGCTGTCTAATTCTGCTAGGATTCAGCTGGAGCAGTAGTTGTATTTGGAGCACTGGCCTCGGCGCCCATTAAAACCCATTGAAACTCTACTCCTGGGCGGTTTCTTTCATGTGTGCAACCCTTCTGCAGTCCCATACTTTGTACTTTTCGGCAATTATTGAAAGCATTTCGGTTAAGCTGCTGAAAGTCGATTATTTTTAGGCCATAGTATGGCAGCCATTGCATCCTCTTCGCAATCGATCGACGTTGTCGATGAAGAGCCAGAAAAGACGAAATATGAACCGAAGAAATTGCATACAAATGAAGTTGCCTCTTTGTTCGATTTGAAAAATGAATACCTTAAGAAGAAGAATAACCTTATTCGAACTACTCCGGGTGAAATATATCGAGGTGGAAAGAGTGTGAGTAGTACTGGTAATGCGCCATGAGGCTTAGGGAAAAATAGAAAATTTATCTCGATCTTTTTCCAGAGCGTATTAGCCGTGAAGAAGGAGGAAAAAACGTCATTGAAAAAAGAAGCTATAGAGCGAAAAAGGCGCATCAACGAGTATGAAGCAGCTCTACGGCGTGAAGAGGAGGAACGTCTCGCCCTTGCCGCAAAGAAGTTAAAGGTTCGACTTCGAAACAATGCCTTTGGACTGAATAGGTTTCTATTTCTATCGCGACGTGAGATTCTTGATAAGTCAGATTAGTATGTGCCTGTGGCATGTCAGAAGTGAGCCAAGAACGATTCTGTCGTGGGTGCACATCTTGGGATTGAGGAGTGGTTTTCAGGGGAGATGTTAATCAAAAACTATGTCGTGCATGCGGACTCATTGAAAGATGGGCTACCAAACTTGCCAGACGTGATTTTTTTTTTTGCTACTCTGCCAAGCAGCAACAATCCGATCTATGTAATAATCGGTCTGTGAGTCCTGGCTCGATTGCTTAGTTGTGGTGCAGCCCAACCAGTTGACATTCTCACCGTATGCCTATGTCCGCCCGGGTCCTTTCCTGGGATCTTCTTTTGTTACGTCAAATATGTTGCTATCAGTGTAGATCATAAACTGATTTGCAGCCCTTAGGTTTCATTCTTGAAGAATCTGTGTGAAAGGAGCAGGAACCCCCGTTTATCTTCTCATTTCTTCGTTTCTTCGTTTGTACAAGTTTTTGCCTAGATACCTACCTAACTTTTCATTCCATAAAGCTTCCATGAGCAAGGCTGATAAGTAGTACTCGCGCTGGCACTTATTGCTAATCATCTATTTCCCAAAGCTGAGGTCGGTAACCATTCATCGTTGTCGCAATCCAATGTAGTCTACTGAAATCTTTTTGCTCAAGTAACACCGCACATAACTCCTTCAATTCGGAGCCTTATTGTAAGAGTCTGAGCATTTTGACGTCCCAAGGGATCCAGTTATGGTAACTGCCCTGGCCCAGCGGTCATCACGATATCGCATCACGTGTCAGGCCCACCTGATCTTCGATTTCTTGGCGTAAGCAACGGCATCACTGATGTCCGTTTTTTGACGGAGCTCGGAACCCCGGAATCCCTTCTTCACCTGCGTGTGTGGGGAAACTCTGAGCATCGTCCCTTCCGCAGCGCGCTGAATGACGCTAATTGCATGCTCATCCTACTATCGTAGAGACCAATTCTTGGAAGCATATGCCAGAGAAGAGGGACCGCTGCGCCGAAAAAGTGAGCGCCGAACTGGATGATCAATGTTTTCTTTACTGTTCTCCTCGGGTTTGTTAAATGCTCCCTACGCTTCGTGTTTCCTTAAGCTCAGTCGTGAACGAGGTCATTTATCATTAACTGGTCCGTATTTCATGAACACAACTTCGTTGGGCTCAGTAGCAAGCCGATCCTTCTACATATGTTATCGAATTGAGACAGAATTCGTTCGGCTTGCTCGATATTTGGTGCTACAAGAACGATGTCATCCGCAAAGCGGGGTATGATGTAAATGACAGCCATCGACCTTCATTTGTATGCCCTTACTTTCTAATTGACACATGGTATTGGCATGTGTGCCCATGGAGTGTGTGCCAGAGTAATGAGATATTATGATAGTTTGGAAACGTCTCAAAGTTATGGGGATGACTGGGTCACATTTACGGACTGTGCTTGATCAGTAGCTTAATCTGGGCACCTTTCACAACCCATTTGAAAAAGTCCTCGTTAAGCTAGCTATAAGTGTATTTTTTTTCCTTGCTTTTCATCTGAAATTTTGCTTATTGCCAAATTTTTCCTTTTTCCAGGAGAAGTCTGACCTTTATGACAAGCTCGCTGAAGGTGGAATATCATTGCAAACCAGCGAAGGTTTAGATGTTGAGTTTTTGGTTGATTTCAATGCCAAAGTGAAAGAAAGGCAGGAGATTAAACTGGCAACGATAAACCATCCTGTTCCTCAACCTTCGTCGTCTATATTGTCTGAACAGCCGGCTCAACCTATCGAGCACTATGCTCCTGATGAAGGTGATTTTTTAAGTGTTGTTTTGATCGCATTACCGGAAAATAATTTTTCAGAACGAAGAGAGTATGGCCCGTCACATATGAAATTCTCATCGGATGAGGAAAAGCGTCAAGCTGAAATTAAGTCGCTCTATGATATGACAGCGGAAACAGAAAAAATGCGGGCTAAGAACAAAACTATAGCGGAACAGAAAGCTCGTGCAAGAAGGGAGAAAATCAACGCCTTGAGAAAGCGGAAGGGATTGCCAGGTTTGACTTTTGACTATTCTTTGACAGATTGGGAAAGATGAATGGAGGGTCTAGCTTATTTATCACCTTTTTCTTGCATTTTCAATGAGTGGTTTGACCGATCAGCCGCTTTCGGTTTTTTTGAAAATGAAACCAGTAATTCTAGTTAATATCGAGTAAATTACACCGATACAAGTAAATTATATTGTGATTTCATCTCTACCCACTATTTCGCCATAAATTTAGACTTTTTAATGCGAGTTATAGTTATACACAAGCTTGTGGCGGTCAATTGACGCACAATATTGTACTTCTATCCTACCAGCTTCCACCGGTAACCGACCCCGGAAGGCTGGCCAGATCAGTTTTGGATTCAGTACCATTTCGAGGCATCCCTTCGGGATTCGATCTCGGATCATGGGTGATAGTTTGTCATTAACGCTGCGATACACGAGAAAAGAAGGAATAAGTTTCTGGTCAACATAAACAACACTCACAACACGCACAACACAACACACAACACCCACATACAAACACCCGGGGGACGGTACATTCGTGCGATCCAAACTGCGCGCGACAAATTGTGCGGCGAAATTCATGCGATTTTGAGACTTTAGCGCCTATTATTGGGACCCGAATTTGGAGTAAAGTAGATTATTGGGATCAACTGACCATGCTCATCTACTCTACCTCAGGTTTGTGCCCCAAAAATAGGCGCCAGAGTCGCTCGAATCGCCACGAATTTCGCCGCTCAATTTGCAACTTCTCATCCTAACATCTTTTGTGTTTCATAGTCTGAATCTATTATCTTCAGTTCGAATTTTTTTCAGACTTGACAAGGTTTTCACACTAGGTTGACGAGAGAATCATATATCGTCTCAGTGGAATGCATTTAGAATTAAACTGCTCCCATTAACATCACAACAACCTTTTTTGCAAGTTTAATTGCTTGATTGTAGAGGAGCGAACACCTTCTCCGGAACCAGAGCCGGATCAACCCGAAGTCATGCTTGAGGAGATCCCACTACCTGCTGACGATACTGTAAAGGTAAATGTCATTTCTTGTCATTATGTTATGGTGAATGTTGTCAATGTCGCGTATATACTTTCGTGGTGCTTTATGGACTGGAGTGGTTTAAGTATTGTTTGGGGAAGATAATGGTTTCAAAGAAATAATAATGGTAAATTCTGCTTAGTGTCCCATGTGTGTGTGTACGTGTGTATGTGTATGTGTCTATGCGTGTTTGTGTGTCTATTGGTTTGTCTGTGTGTGTGTGTTTGACCGGAAGTTCATAACCCTCGGTTCCGGTGGACCGAGAGAGTTCAAATTTTGTAGGAGTACAGGATTCAGGATGAGAACACTCATGGTTGGTAGCAGGACTAGACTCCCACAGCGGACGTTGTTTATGCAGAGTAAGTGTTTGAGTGGAAAATCATAACTCCGGTTCCTACGGACCTGGAGAAGTTCAGTAGGAGTACAGACGGCAGGATGGGAGCTCTGATTTTGGGTGATAGAACTATACTCCGCCCTCAGGGGGCGGGGCTCGCCCAAAAGATGACATATTAGACCTAGACGGCTAAATCCAGTAGGAGTTCAGGAGGCAAGGTGGAAACACTGTTGAAGGTGACAGGACTAGACTCCGCCCACAAGGGGCGTAGCTCGAAAGTGCTTAATTCGGCCCAGTTTAACCTTTGTTTGTTTATTTATTTATTTATTTATTTATTTATGCGTAGTGAACGCGCTACACCATGACAGTAATAAGCTGGAGAGGTTGACCTAGTAAGGTGATTTAAGAATTAAGAAACAACAAAGAAACAACAAAGGAAAGTTGCAAATAGAAATCCAATAATGAGTAAATCATGACTAAACGACGCCTGAAAAAAAGAAAAAAAAAGAATGAATCTATGCTGAGTAGGTCGAGAAGATGAAATAGAGTGCCACAAAAGTCGCAAATTTGCCAATCAGGTGGACCGGTGACTGCTTCAGAACAGTGTAGCACTTAGAGATAAGCGGGAGACCTTCGCTGCATTGAAGTAACGTGGTGAAACGTTTCGACTCAACTCAAAAAGTATACGCAATGAGTCATGCCGCTAACACCAGACACGTCTGAAGCCAGAAGCTACCCATAGCACCAACCTGCATCAGTCGGCAATGATGCCCGCTCGCCACATGCGGGGTCATAGGTACTTGCCGTAACTTCGAAACACGGGTATACCGACCACCCTCGTGGAAACGGCAAGCAAGGCGGATGTAGGGGTAGACCACTAGTAGACGTGAAAAGAAATAAGCCGCATACTCAGCTCTCGTAAGCTTATGACAGACAAAAAACCAAAGGTGGGTAATCAGCACGAAGGTTGCCCAAAAAATCTGGTAAGCAANTGTTGATGTCGCTGTATGGGGGTGCTGTCCGGGAAGTGTATTTCTAGGGAAGAGGATCCTATTGAAAATAACCTTCAATGAGTCACTATTTCCAAGACGAACAGCAACATAATGAGACTTCTATTTTTATGCATAAGCACTATCGAGACTCCGCCACACACTGAATAACGCTTGAATGCACTGTCAGCATTCTTTCGAGTTTCATGTTCCGAAAGTATCATTTGTTCCGGAAAAGAAGCGGGCCGTTTGCCGATTATTAAAACTGCTATGACAAGAAGGGAAGCCCGGTGTTAGCGGGCGACCCGACTGGTGAGAACATGCCTGCGTCCGAGGATGCGCACGGTAATTTGCGCGTCGGAATTCGTGGCAATTTGAATGACTCGGGAGACGGGCGTTAGGAACGATTTTGGGTAATCGATTCGCCGCACGTGGCTGTCGCGGACCACTCATTCGCCGTTATTACAGCTCTAGTGTTCTTCATACAGCTTAGTCGATATGCGATCATTATTTTATGCATAATTCTACTATTAATATTTTTGTTCTTGTATTTCTTACCTACTGCTGCATCCTGCTGCATTCCTTCTTGCGCGACGCCCCTCACACCGCGACGCAATCAGTCCGTTCATAATGCACCACACCCCCTATCATTGGGACCCAAATTTGAAAGAGAAGATTAGTAGGATAGGCTGATACTACTACACTACTCTAGTTTGTGCCCCAATAATAGGGCCAGAGTCATGATAGGCGCTAAAGTCATCCAAATCGCCACGAACCTCGCCGCGCGCACTCTCGGACGGAGAACGTCCGTTGCGCGTGTCCGTCGAAAGTAGATCACCCCGCCCACTTCGCGCGCGGCGCATCAAACTGAGGTCTCGAGATGACATTACAGTACCACCAAGTGTCATTGGAGCAAATGATTTGCATTTGTCTGTGTTATCTTCTTCGTGAACTGGCTGCCGTGGACCAAACGCACAGCGTATGCCCCAGTGACAATTGCGACGTCTGTCAAATATCGCGGGCCGACTCGCCGCGTGCGACGGCTGCGGCGTGACCTAATTTCGACGGACACGCGCAACGAAGCGCACCCCCGCGTGCCCTCTTAATATTGTTAATTGCGCTCGTTCCTGCACAGCAAGGTTGAGTTCGTAGAAAGTGATCCGACTGTTCCATGTCCAGGCTCATGGAACGTTCTGTTTCTTTAGAAACTGGGGTGCTCATAAAGTGAAAAAAAAGACAAAAGAAGTTTATGTGTTGAACAAAGCTCAAAGTTTAGTGTCATGATGGGTTTTTGAAAAAACTTATGAAGCTTCTTTTCTTTTCAAAAACTTTTAAATCATGATGGGAGTTAGAGTTTTGATTCTGATCACTTTCTTAATATCTTATGAAGGAGTCATCAGAATCGATAACATTTTGTTGCGTCATGATAGAGTCAAACCTGCTTGAAGAGCTTGTCTGTCCGTCTTCGCTATTTCATAAGTTGACATCAAATTCACAACAGCAATCGTTGAAATGTGAATTTTTGATCAATCAGTGGACTTAATTTCAAGTGAATGAATTTCATTCCTTCCTACAAATTTGCCTCTCATATTTTTCCTTTTTGTTTTGGGGAAACTTTTGGATCTTTCATTTTACTAAACTTCACCTTTCATTCATAAGAAATCTAGAGTTGGACAGAAAACTGCATTGCTGGATGGGTTCTTGCTTGTGAGCACCGCTCCTCTTTGTACTCCTCCACAACAAGAGAGGGGTTGGTTAACAGCAATTCTTCAACAAACATATATGTGCGTAATATTGTGAAACTCATCGAACTCGGAAAAATATGAATTCAAAACACTCAAGTTCACAGGGAAAAAGGCTCAACATTTCACTACAGATACCCCCCCACGTTGCGGTGCGGAACACTTCCCTCAAATTTGAATTTACCTTAGCGAGAATCTCGCATCTTGAACGCTCGCAAGCTTGTAGCTCTCTGCTGGACTGTTACCACGTTTTTAAGGGAAGCCTAAACGTTAAGAAGACATGGTGCATTGAAATTGAGCGGAATTCCAAGAGTCGTCTTCGCTACTGTTTCAATATTTTCGCCTTTTTTTNTTTTTTTGCCCAACATTTATGTGCAAGTTGTCCTTGTTCTCGTCCTGTTCATTGCTGATTATAGCCTCAGCCAAAATCTACGCAGGGAATTTTTAGAAAACCGAAAAGAAGCCTGTGCGAGAATGGGATCGTGGCAAGGGCTCATACAATACTTGGATACTAAGGCAACGAGACGAACGCGACGAAGAATTCGCTCCTCCTTCGTTCTATTACAATAATTGAATATAAAGAAATAAAACTGTTTTTTGAGAAAGTGTCGCGTCCTACAAGGTCATAACCTGTCTTTCTATATGCTCTTGTAATGGCGATTTTTGAAATTTCATAGAAATAACCTTTAAACAATCGTTTGTATTACTTTAAAGACAGTAGGAATCGTTCAGATGCCACCTTTGGAAAAGTCACCGACACCGAATGTGCCGTGGCACCAATTGGTGACGCATGCTAGGTTGCTAAGAGCAGAGTTACGGTCCTCGCTTGCATTACCTTTTTCAAGGATGTCTATCGTTCCAACGGAAAACGGATGCAGATTGTGAGATGGTTTCGAAAAGCTTTCAAATTCGTCATTTGTGATATATATATATATATATATATATATATATATATATACATATGTATATATATATAGTGCGTTTCAAAAGTATGTGCACACCCAACATTTTGTTTTTTTGGGGATACCATTGCTTTCTGTAACCTGTGACCTTTACCATTCAATTCCTTGTATGCTATAACCTACGAACCCTTTCTCTGAGAAAACATCGTAGCTGCAAACACAATTTTTTATTAAAGAAAGTAGTTTCAAAAGTATGTGCACACTTATCAAAAAACAAAAATATAACCGAGATAAGAAATCAACAGGGCCCCCTAAATTCCTGTAGAGGTTATCGACTACGAGGAATCGTTTGAAAATGGTTTCGTTACGGTGGGTTTATTAGTTTCCTTAAAATGGAAAATTTTGAGTGTGCACATACTTTTGGAGCGGCAACTGGGCCACTCTTTTTCATGCATTGCTAGATTCATTCAAGACCCTGGCAGCTCTCGCTCACAACCTATTCCTGGCCGTCCAAGTATTTTGACTGCTCAGGACAATAGGAGAATAACCCGTCTTGTGGGGAATATTTCTTTGCCTGTGAGTAAGTTCCGAGCTCAGATGGGTTTATCAATCTCGCGTACGACCGTTTGGCGCTCTATCCGCTCTGCTGAGTATATCACACGAGAGACGATGAAGAAGGCTACTCGTCTCAGTACTCGCCACAAGCTGTTAAGGCTGGAGTTTGCTCGCCCAGACCATCAAAGAGCCTTCGAAATTCCTTCTCAAAAATACGAATGGCTCTCGGCGAAGGTCCCTCCAGTAATGACGGAATCTTTCCGGCCCGCCAAGATTGAACTTCTTTTCATCAGAGATGATCACCTAAGAACAAAATGGGTACAACACGTTGTTTGTTCTAAAAATAGGAAAATCCTGAAAATTCTCGAACAACCCTACCTTGTTCCATGATGTTGCCATGTTCCCACGAGCAAACTCCAGCCTTGTCAGCTTGTGGCGAGTACTGAGACGAATAGCCTTCTTCATCGTCTCTCGTGTGATATACTCAGCAGAGCGGTTAGAGCGTCAAACGGTCGCACGCGAGACTGATAAATCCATTTTAGCTAGGATCTGACTCACAGACAAAAAAGTATTCGCCACAAGACGGGCTATTCTCCTGTTGTCCTGAGCACTCAAAAGACGTGGACGGCCAGGAATAAGTTGTGAGCGATGGCTCCAGGGTCCTGAATGAATCTAGCTATGCATGAAAAAGAGCGGCCCAGTTGCCGTTCCAAAAGTATGTGCACACTCAAAACTTTTCATTTTGAAGGTAACTAATAAACCTACCGTAACGAAACCATTCTCAAACGATTCCTCGTAGTCGATGACCTTAACAGGAATTTAGGTACAGGTCACTTCATTAGAACCCCCCCCCCCCCCCCTCGCGTTCATTGGTGAGCGATTTTTTCGACATTATCAACGTTGTTTCCATGGCTCACCTACGAATGAGATGTATAGAAAGAAGTTCTTCAAGGGCAAAATGATCAGTGAGGATGTTACGTTTTCTCTCTCTAAATAACAATTAATCCCCAGAGTGAGCGTAAACCGTCATTGATCTTTGAAGCTCTTTAATATTGAATCAAGGTCGTTCACGTGGAACAAGACATTTGCTTCGCAACACCATAACGTTTTAATTATCAGTGTCGAACATGAGAGCATCACGCTTTGTTTGGAATAAAAAAGCAGGGAATCCGGTGTCGATATGTCATTGAGCACTGTCTCACGGCTGCTGGCCGACAAATTGGAATGGAAGTGGGGGCTCCTCGCTATTTAACTAAAAGATGATTGTGTTAGCGGGGAGTTTGATAGTTTATTATGCTCTAAACGGATCTAACTACCTGTACCTAAGCGTATGGTGGTAGGAAAACCTAAAGATTGATGGCTTCAGGTCAGTTTGGAGACGAAAAGTCAGGTTGATGCAGTCTTTTTGTGCATAACCATTTGGCTTTTTTGGTTCTTTGGCTTGGTGTAAGTTTCGAATCACAATCGAGTCTCCCCGCTTGGGAAAAGCACCTCAGAATAGGTTGTTCCTCGGTAAAATCCACGCCTCTCTTTTGCATTGCTTGCAGACTAAAATGTGAGCTTAATCCTTAATGCAATTTCCGTTTATTGGTCAGTAATGATCCATAATGCAGTTTTTTAAAGATATGCTCTGGGGACTCCTATTTGCTCCTCGAATCAAACTGTTCTATCTGCTGAAATTCCAGCCAATGATAGGCCGTCAAACATCGTGCTTGAACCAATGTTTAGCCCAGATCAGTTCAAGTAGGTTCCCTGATTTTGTTGGCTTGATTAGATTCGCATTCAGACTCTTTCAAAAAACCTTCTTTCACTTTATAACTCATTCAACAAAAATCCAGAGAAGTTGGTATTCTTCTGTTAAGATGTTTTTTGCAGAGCAGCCGCTCCAAGTGTGGAATTTTCTTTAATGTGTGAACGGCAGCGGGCAACGGTTGTGAGTGGAGTAACGGACTACGTGGTGGACAAAGATGGATCTACGTTAATGCTCACAACCGGGGAACAGGCTTTTCGTTAAGTCTTATTAAAAGTGACCTTCATCCTAATTTGGCATTGAAAGTATGGAAGAACTAAAAATTGCCAGAAAATCTTATCATCATCTATATTTTTGTTGTGATTCCGCCCCTGTTTGTCATTTTAGTCGTTGCATCCCGATATCCGTTGTACCTACCCATCCTTTCAATTATTTCAGCAATCGAAACTCACAGGAAGGTGCAAGGGTAAGATAGGGGAAGTATTCAAAAAATGAGGTAAAGTGAATCAAACGATTGTTGTACGCATACTCATTGCATACAAACTCAATTTTGATGTATCTCCTCATTCTCTATGTAAATATGTGAGTGCTCCTGAAAGAATTCAGGATATCTCTTTATGAAACAAGACCAGATTGGTAGCATTTCAGATATGTGAATGGTAGTCTTCTGCCCCTAGCCACCGGAAGCGTTGCTAATGATTCGATAGCATCTTCCGGCTTTGTGTTCGACACACAGTTCTGCCCTTCTGATTCACAACTAGTCTCCTACGTGCTCAATAAGCAGGTAGGTTTTATCACTGTAAAAGTGGCTGATTAGCTTGGCATCTGTACATACATGTAGTGGAATAAATATGCTACAGGTTCACGTTGAACGCGATGGTGTATTGATCTACAGAACAACATGTTCTAATCCGAATATCTCAAACGGTGTACCGCCCTTCATTGCACAAGAGGAACTGGACCGATTTCAAGCAGTTTGGTGGAGTCCAACATCAACTAGGCAATACATTTTCTGTTCGATCAGATTTGATTATATCTGAGCGTGGCTTCCCGAACAGCATTTCTAACAAACGTGCTCTACCCTTTGCTCTTGTACTTCAATATTGCCCTATACTCACTGCTATGGATTATTTTCTGATTCTATCTCTTTTACCATATCCGAAAACTCCTTATCTTACTATATATAACGCGCTCGAGTGGCTTTTGACCTGTCGATGTGTGTGTGTTTGTGTATGTACGTCGGTGTCGGTGTGTGTGTGGTTGACCGGGAATTCATAGCTTCTCTCAGTGGACCTAGAGCGTTCATATTGATAGGAGTACAAGCAGAGGATTAGGCACCGATGGTAGGTATTAGAAAGTGACCGAAGTGGACCACGCCCACGGGGAGAGTAAGGGCGATGGAGAGGGCGGAGCGTGCGTAAAATGAGAGTAACTTGAGTAAACACACGCAGTCAAAATGGAATAAGCAAGCAGGGCTTAGCTCATTACGGGCAGGGCGTGCACGAAGTATGTGATTCGCTGGATGAATAACTCCAGCTCTACTGGACCAGTTCTCTCGAATTTGGAAGAATGGAAGCGAAAACCTTAACATAAGGAGGAGGAGTTTAGCTCGAAGGATCTATCCATATTTAGCGGGCCACCCTCAAGGTCCTCTTTGGTCATCTCCTCCTAACATGACGCGCCTCCTACGGCCGCCTTTTACTGTTCTACCCGTTTTTGAACTTGTTTTCTAAAAAACGGTAGCGATCTTAATAGACGATAATGCGAAGGAGTCATTACAATATTAGAAGTGATGCAGAACTTTCCAACCAAACTCTTGGGACTGTGGCCAGTTTGGAATATAACATGTGGTTTCGCCACAATGAGGTTGAGAAGTTTTCTGTATAACTGCACAGTAGTACATAAATCATTCACATAAGTTTATCACCGTTTGTCATCATTTGGTTTGGAAATCGAGGTCGAAGCACTTCAAGGGAAGATTTTAGGGTGCATTCAATAATGTATTTCCTGATGAACTTATACTCATTTTAGGAAAGCAAACATTCTCACATAAATTCCTAGAGATTGCTTAGTTGAGGATTTCATACTCCTTGTGTTGACATCCTCCGCCACCCCTAATTAATGATAGATGTGCCTGAATTGTCTACCAGTCTATCATACTTTTTAGGTTATTATACGAACGGGTTGACGAAACAATGGTGCGCTCGTTAATGTTCGTCTGTCCTGGGAGAGAACCACAAGCGCCAATGAAATATCCTGTTGCCGGTACAGACAACGCTGTAACTGAATTACGACTTATCGTTGTTAACGGCAACACAGTGAGTTTGTCACTTGTCAATGGATCTTACCGTATATTTCTGATATTTTAGGTTGTCGATTGCGGGTTGAAGACACCTTTGAAGATGAAATTTCCATGGGTAGAGTATATTGCACGTGTTGGCTTTCTAAACGACGGAAAAACGTGAGTGTACTGTGGAGTTGTTCCAACTCTTTTCCTTTATTGATGAAGCTAAAAAAGGAAATTGTAACATTGTCTCCTACTAAGCAAATCAAATCAAAATTGAACCTTCCCTCTGCTCTACATTACTCTTTATTATTATCTTTCTTGTTATTCGAATTGAGCTCCTTCAGCAGGCATGAGTGGAAGTTCTTCCTGCGATCAGCCCACCTTAAAAGAAAAAAAAAACGAGAAATTTTGTTGAAAATTTTCAAAGAGTCAAGATTGATTTCAACTTCATTTTCCCATCGGCCATATGTATTTGTTTCGTAAGCCTCTCTTCTAGATTAGTGTTTGGCTATGTTGTCTTTCAGAGTATGGCTTCAAGTTATGAATCGGACTCAATCACAAGCAGCACTCATACTGTTGCCTGAATCTGATTTTGAAGGATTCAGTGCAACAGGACCAATTCGTGAAGCATGCGTGATGAAAGATGAGATCTCAAACGCCTGGATCAATGTGTGTAGGTTTAACAAAAATACGTAAAGAAGCAATCTGTAGCTCAATTCGATCATATACACCTTATACCCGAGTCTTGCTAGAAACGATGGACACAAAAGGCCTTGGCACTGTGGGCGGTCCATGGGTAAAAAATGAAACTCATATCCAATGTCCCAAAAACCATCTTAATTCCTCAATTCCTCCACATGTTGCCTTGTAAGTATACATCGTCCTATTATAATGAAATTGCCCAACGGGAGCGGCTATCCGGTCCCACAAAACTTTTGCTGTGTTATTTTGATATTTATGAACTAGAGTAACGCTGGTTTTCTTGGGAAATAGTCAGAGCTCATAAGCCGTAGTACCATCACAATCTCTCGAAGCACGAGCTGAAAGAGTATATCCCTGCATCGAAAGCTTTTTCATATTGCCACAGGTTTGGTGGTTGATGTAACAACATTTGATAAAGCTTCAGCCGTAACTCCTTAGACGTAGGCCTTTCCACACGGCTGGCTTATCCATGTTCTTCTTAATAACAAGCTGTATATTTTAAGACGCACAACGCGATTGTTCCACTTCATAACGATACTTCTACAGTTGAATTTGTTTACGCCAGCGAGCAGCAATCACACTGTCATCTATACCTCATCACGGCTTCTATCTCAAAGTGAGACTTAGATTTTTTTCACTGCTGTCGTTAAGAACTTTGTAGTTTTGCATTTTTTCATCTCATGACCAGTGGTTTATTGCCTCCCCTTATCGTAACTTTGTTAAGCAGATGCTCCAAAAAGTATCATGGGGAAATGGACTTCTGTTTTTATAATTAAAAATTGCAATTACTATTTCATCAAAAACGAAGGATATATCATTCTTGAACTAGTTTCTAATGATAATCGCTGGTGGCTTGATATAATATACATTGAACACGCGTAATTCATCTGTCCCTCTGCTACAGACGGGTGTGAGAAAGAAAGAATGAAGTCAGAAGAATAAGGAAGAAAATTGTTGTAGTTTCGAGAAAGCTCAACTTTTTTTCTTCAATTTTAGCATGTGATATATTTACACCCTTTCTCCTCATTCTCTTATGCCAAAGCTTAGCAGGCACCTTTACTTGTGGCATCGTCTCCAACTACGATGCATGACATTTTTTACGCAGGCACTGATTCCAGTTGTGTTGTTTTTGATAAGGTACCTCTCATTTAGGCTTTTTAGGCTACCTTTTCCTAGCTTCGAGTATTCACTAGCTTTCTCCTTAAGTGACCTTCGGTCTTTTCTGACCATGGCGCCTTTAGATAACGGGGCCTTGCAATCTGACGTCGATGACTTCAATGCTCTTGTGGTCCTGGAGCAAAAGCCTTGTAAGGAGTACGGCATATGGCCAATGTGAAATTAGCCGGGCCCAGTGATTTTTTGACGGATCTACAGAACGAACTTTTTTGTTCGTTGTGGAGGTACCATTGTGAGGGTTTTGGAAGTCTTTGTCAAACGACGCTGGTCAAATACTGCAGTTAAAAGATGCAAGTTGTAGGTATTGCCGGATTGTACTTTTCGAACTTAACCCCTTACTTTTCCGCCCAGTGCGTGGGTTATGTATCCCATTTGCGGCTATTCATCCACATCCATCTGCACAACCCCTCCAGTGATGGACCAACGCAATAATTGCAAGGACAGTTGTGGCAGAGCTTGAGTCCAAATTCCCCCAGCGGTGTGTGCCTTCAGTGCTAGGTCCCACGAATTTGGAATACTTGTCTCACGGCATCATACTGCAATGAGCGCAATTACCAGCGCTGAGGCCTACCTTTACGCCACTTTATATTTCGTCAATTTCCAGGTATGATTCATGCATTGCACGCTCCAATCACCTTTCATCTCTCTGAATTTGCGAGTGCGGCTAGCACACCGCATCTCTATGTTTTCAATCCGACGTGCCTCGACGAACGAGGAACCTTCGAACACGCTTCAATTGAATGTTTTTCCCTCGCCCACATTCGAGTACAACATTATGTGCATCAGTGCTATTTCTGCTCAAACCCCGCCCCCTGTAGGTGGAGCCCGGTCCTGCCCCCACCATAAGTGTTTTCATGCTGCATCCTTTTTTCCTACCCCTCTGTGGGGGGGGGGGGGTCGGTCACCATAAGGAGTCCCACCTTACCGCCTGTATTCTTGCCAAAGTTGAATGCTTTAGGTCCACGGGGACAGGAGTTGTGAATTTTCGGTCGAACACACACCTACAGAGGGAAAGCAGAGCTCTTAATATCAGCTAAGAAATAATGACCATTGCAGTAGTTATGCTACTTGCTCACACACGCACACACAAACAACAGACATTAGTGCGTCATAGGATAGGATAACGTGCGTAGTAGGATAACCACTGTAATGGTCAATTTTTTCTTAGCTAACATCAAGAGCTATGCTTTCCTACTCTTCCCTAACAAGGTGATTGTCTAAAACTGATGGTTGCTTCTCCTTCGAGAGCGCCCGCTTTTTCTAGTAGGAGGTGGGCTGTCAGGAAAGAGACGATTGTATTGTTGCGCTAGCTCTCAGCATCTTTCACTTTCCTAATACTAGCGTTCTAGCTGGATTCAGTTGGGTCAGGAATGTTACGCTCCATCCGTGTGAACCGAATGTTGTTCGCTTGTCGAATGACTAGGTTAGACCGCGTGTTGATTTTTTTGCAGTTAAGCTAACAAAGGGCCGATACTGCGAATGCATTTCTTATCTCCCACGAAGAGTGACCGTGGGTTATGCGCGTGGAGCATCTTGTCCCATGTGTAGCTTGAGGCGGAACTTATTGGTAGAACTGGGCTGCCCCTATGATACAGGAACACAGACCACTAGATGGCTTGAAAATATCGGATAGGAGCGATTGACCTTGTCCACAAACGCTTGGATTGTCTCTAACTAATATTGCCGTTCTAAGTAGGTTACTTTTGTGGGTATTAGTCAGTTTTGATCTCTTACAATTAGTAATGAGCACCTGCAAGCTCTGGATCTGTTGAAGCAAAGCATCAGCAGTATATGATATCCTGGCCGGTACTGTAGAGACTCTACCCATTTCCTTGATGCTTAGTTTCATTGAAATTCGAGGCCATGGATGTTAGTCTGTAGCAATCGTGACTGGATAGTGCGCTCATGTACGAAAGTGTTATAGAGGCGAAGTGGTGAATCTTCAAGAACGTGTCGTTACTCAAGGCGACTTCTCGGTGTGCAAGTCAACGAGTGTGGTGATCGACGAGAACCGAAGGCTTGTTTACTACATCGCCAACGTTCGTCATCCAACTGAATGGAACGTGTAAGTTCGGTAAAACCAAATCTACTCTGCTTTGCATAATTATACACCCATGAATCCCACCAAAACTCACGTTCCAAGGGACTCCAGGAAAAGGCTTAGTATCGAAATCGTGCCCTACTCGGACCGTAATTTGTGGCCAACATGAGTTCCATCTCACTAACCGAAGAATATCCCTTTCACCATTCTCGGAAATAGTCACTCTGCCCACTTTGCAAAATGATACAGCCACTAACCAAATCAATTCATTCTGCAGCTAAATGACGACAAAGAAAGGACGTTGCATGATTGGTAAGTAATTGAGCCCTCTAAATTATCTCAAAAATACGATTATTTAAGCTAAAGTAAGGGTTATCAATGAGTTCCTGGTCAATTTGGTGCCCCAACCATTGACGATTGCTTTCTTCAGCTCACTTACACCTCCAACTGCTTGTTTACTTCATTAATCTTCCTTATCATGAATCCCTTATGTTTCCCATCAGATTCAAGTCCAGGCTGTTAGCCAGCCAGGGCAAAAAGCCGATTTGAACCGGACCTGGGTGCGCCGGCTGACTGGAATCGAGGTATTATTCAGCATGAATACGAGGTTCTGCTGCCGAGTCTGAGTCAAAAAGGAAGAAGAGCACGCAAGCTAGGTAAGCTGAGCTGAGCTCTTTGGGAACAAACAATAAGTGAAGACGTTAACGAGAAGAAGTCGCCACCCATACCATGACTTCTCCTCCCTTGTAATTTCGTCTGGAAAACAGACGCCTATCATTTCCCAGATCGTGCCAGTAGACCCAGCTTCCATCCGGGGTATCACAGTTGAACTTTTTTCCCCAAAAAAACAGCCTTGAGAACGAAACATCAAGAGAAAAAGAGTAAACGACAAGCCATGAAAAGGCACCTTAATCCAGTCGGTTCGGATGCAATTCCTGGCAAGAGCGACCCGGTTACGGCGATGCTTCTCGGTTATGTCGGCTCAAATCTCGAGCGATTTGCAATTTGACAGTGCCTTTCCTCTTTTGCAGGAATTTGACCTTTCTCAGAATCGGCTGATATTGGAAAACTTGACGTGAATTAAGCAATTGTGTAGGTGAAAATGGAAAACGACGGGAAAATATGACGTGGCTGTATCTTTTTGCAAAATAAGCAAAGTGACCTTTTCCGAAAAAATTAAGGGAAAATTGTCCATTTTATCGAGACGGAACTCGTATTGGTCTACAAGTTACGGTCCGAGTAGGGCCATTTTCTATTCTGAGCTTTTCCTGGAACATGAGCTTTGGTGAAATTCATGCTGTGGCTGTATCATTATGCAAAGAATGTATTTGGAGGCTATCTGTTTGTCGTTCAGCATCGTTACTCCTCACCATTCACTCTTTTCACAGAAAAACTGTTATTATTGAGCCAGAAATCAGGGTAAAAGGAGGGGAGGATGTGGAATATGTTTTTTATGTAGATAACGTTGTTAAATGATTGAATGAGTTCCAGTGTATGATGCTAGGAAATTTTAAAAAAAATAAAAGATCATAATTAAGAATCAAATAAAAATCCTCTTCTTGCCAGCCTCTAAAGGTGCCTCGTGAGCCTTATATGTAATGACTTCTCGACCAGGATTCGCATTTATACCGAAAATCATGTTCATTGCGGAAAAGGACCTTGGGCAGACCATACCATGAAGCTCAAATTTTCAGTGTCTTTCGGGAGCACTATGCTTTCTTTGGAATCATCTCCAAAATTGGTAAATTTTACTTCGCTGTGAAGGCCTTGAAGCCAAATAAGTGATAGTCCGAGGGAGCAATGTCAGTGGAATATGGAGAGTGCGGAAAAGTCCCTAGCTCCTTCGATTTATCAATGGTCTCTTTGACTACATGAAATATCTAGGATTATCGAGCAGTAGGCGGAGATGAGCCCGTCTCGGTCGTTTTCTCGAACTGCGCCTGCAAGCTGCTGGAGCTGAGTGTCGTAAATGTTACCAAGGACCGTGTGTCTCGCGGGCGCAGCTCGTAATACTTCTTCTGTCGCAAATCCCATAAGCAGCGGAGAAGGTACGCTGAAGTCAGGTATTTTCCCGGTTGGTACTTTCTTTGAAGAAGTAACACGTCACGTCGCGTGTTCGAGTGGTAGAGGAGATAACTCTCACCTTTAATGAACAGTTCCAGAAATTCCTTCCGGTGCGTTCGAATCGAATAGGGAGAGATCGACAAATAGACTTTGGCAAACTGCACATTTTCGGTCAGTATATGAGCTACCCATCGAGTTAGCGCCTTCCTGTGGCCAAAAACCAGGAGGTGACTGAGGGCACGCGCCACAAGTACGGTAGCAAACTTATCGTCGTGCAGAAATCAGAATTCATATTGATACATTGTGATATGCATCGCATCAACATAATGAACGCACAGCCATCTGATGTAACCACCACTGTACTGGTTATAGCTCGAAAAACTTCGGCGCAAGCTCCCGTCTCTAGCATGCACTATATCCACGTAGGATTGAAGCCCGAAAAATTCATAGGCCAATTGGAAGCGGAGATTGCGAACATCTCTCAGCACCTTTTCCCATTCGTGAGCGAGTGTTCTCAAATCGCATCTCTGGCCTAGACAGCTCCTTCTCAAAAATATCTCAATGATGATGTTCTGGTTTTTTTTCTAAAAAGTTTTTATATTTTTCTGGCCCAAAATAAGCCGCTCTGATGGCATAAATTCCTACCAAACCACATGGAGGAGGAAAATGGCTTCGAGAAACTATCTGACTTGTCAACTTCCTCGCCACCTGTGGTGAGGAACGTACATGTACTCTGGGATGTACATTTCTTACACGCTGAACACCTTGTCAGAAAAGTGTCGAAGCGCGTGCGCAGTGCAAGTAGGGCACGGTATTTGATCTTCCTCTCAACGTTCATCTCACCAAAAGAGTGTACGGCTTTCGAAATCGATCGAGATAAAGTTTTTTTTCGCTGGGAGAAGAATATTGTCATTGAAAAAGAACAAGACCCTTTCTGGAACCTTGCGTGCTCGCGTGACTGTCTTTTGACATATTACGAAAAGGCTGTTGAAGATGGCTTGAAGTTGTTGGTAAAATGGAGATAGAAGCGGACGATTGTTTTTACCCCCAGGTTCAGCAACGTAGTTGTGCTATTTTTCCATGACGTGATTACCTTGCATTATAATGGGTATCTCATGAAAAGCCTAGCTAGGCTTCTGACAATGATCGGTGGACAGCCACGCAGTTGTTCTGGTTAAATCTTAACGGTATCGTTTCCATTACAGCTCTTTATCGATATGATGACATGTCGGATCTCAGAAGGTAGAAAGGTTATGTCCATCATACGTAAGATTATGTAGATCAATAATGTTGTCCAGTAATCTTATTCCCCCTACCTTCATGGATATAATAATTCGTTTGTCCTCCACTCATCACATAGCCTTATCCGCAAACGCATGTTCAATGGCTCATGCTTTTTATGGTATGTTATCAGGCCCTATTAGTTATTATCACCTTTCGTCATCGACAGTACGATTCAGCCATAAGCTACATTTAAATATCAAATGCAATGCTCCATTGTCAATACGAATTCAACGGCTTCTACCCTATAGGCAGTATCATCAGCTTTTATGAGTCTTTAGCCTTTCGCGTCGTCATCATCGAATATCCCATTACAGCCCTCATTACAGACCAAGGTGTCGAGAAATCTTCCAGTGACGTCACATTCCAAATAATTCACGAGCGATTCAACGAAAAGGTAGAGGCCAGAAAAAAACCTTGAATGAGCAAGGCGAAATATATATTCCGAGCGTGCTATAATTGGCGAAGCTCCGCTTACGATGAGTGGCTGCGCTTACTCATGAACGGTACTTTTTTACAAAATTTATAACTCTTCAAAGCCCCATGAAAGTGGTTAGGGACTTAAGTATGAAAGTCACATCTCTGTCTATTTGTCACGAAGTTCTGCATTATCTTAGGAGCAACTGGCGTGGTCGAATTAACTTTAGCATGGGTGGAGCCTAAGGCAGGACGAAGGGAACATATGAACATCGCAAAGCTTCGCATGCATGAGGTGGAACAAGCATCGGAATAAGCGGTGCAGGAGCAAAGCTTCTCGTTTCAGTAGCTCATGCGCCGGAAAAAAGAGTAGATGTGAGAAATGGGCCAGTGGATGTAACAATAGAAACATCGCGGTAGGAGAAGCGTCCTCATTGCGGACCACACTCCGAAATGAATTCATTACGCGATTTTATCACAGCTTGTGAACTAGATTTTTGGAAGACAACATTTAAACCACTTCGAAGCGTTTTTTCTCGTGCACGCGTAAGTGCTGCCAACTGGTCTATTTTCCTTCTGAAGGCTCTCTGAAGGTTCAAAGTCTCTCTGGAGGACATAGCGATGAAATACATGAAATTCCGATCAAGCATATATATATACATGTACTCATATACACAGACACATACTTGAACACATGCACATATACACACGTGCGCATATACGGCTGTTTCCACAGCTCTTTGTATATCATTGCCTTCTATTGCCGCTGTTAAATCCCATGGAATATAACGAGTATTTCAAAGTGGATTTGATCCACACCAGTGAACTATCTTTTGTTCTTTCTTTGTAGATGCGTGTCCAGTTATGATGAAACTTCTAACGAAGTGCGGCGGTTGACTGAGAGTGGATCATCCTTCAAGTGAGTTTGCCAAATTCTGTGTGATTCGGTGATTTCTGTTTGGAAGGAAAAAAACAAACCCAAGTAGGAATATCTAGATTCAATCCGATATTGTCCTTTATCAGTGTGTTCTCACTTTAGAGGTGAACGAGCGTGCCACCATTTATGTTTGTTGCCGTCTGATGGATTCGTTTGCTGGATGACTTCCCTTAGCCAGCCTCCACAGTGTCGTTTCTACGCATTAGCGTTTTCCGATAATTCAACGCTACCAACCGCTACACTTGTTGCTCAAGTAAGCTATTGTTTTTGCAATGTTTAGCATTAGATATATTGGGGGCACAAGGATGTCTAATATGTAAAAATGCAGCCTATGCGCACCCCTGAAAGATGCAGGGGAATTCGAGAAAGTTTTGCGCTATTTAAGTCACACTGTTTTGCCACCATTTGATTGTTGCCCAAAAGACATCATTGAAATGTAGCCACTAGTTTTTCCGGAAGTGACTTCGTCGCTTTGTTGTTGTAGAGCGCAGTTATTCGATGGGGATTATTTTTCTTTTTCTGATAAGGAAAACTGCTTCACGGTCCTCTCTAAACGGAAATGTGGACTGATTTTCAAAAACGTAAGGATCAACTTGGAATCAATGATGAAATATAACTGATTTCGTGTGTAGTGACTTACCCTTTCTATCACATTATCATCGCTTCGAAAGTTTTCTGAAGATATGTTCAGGTTATGCGTTTCCGTCCACTCAGAACGGTTCCCAGTTGTTAAAAAGCGAAAAATTTTGTATCCTTCATTTTAAAAAAGTACAAAGATACAAGATTGCTTATTCATCTTGCTAGAAGAGGATAGTTATCTATAAAGTTATTGTAGTGATCTTACCGTAAGTTTTCTTCATCACGGACAAATAATCAGTCGACCCGACTTAGCAGAGCAGTCAAGAACAAGCCAATTAGGATACGTCTGCAGTTTTTCAATCTTTCAAACTTTTTTTTTTTATAAAGAATGGTATCTATGATTGTACTCAAAACATTCAACGGTAGGACTGATTTGTAGTGGTCTAGGTGGGTTTCAAATTGATAGGTTTACCAGGAAACTGTTGACGTATGTGGCAAGTATGTATTAGCACAGCATAATCGGACGTACTTGGGCTCTACCTTATCTACTCCTGCTTGATCAGAAGGCAGGCCTCTACTTAGAGAAAAGCCCTTTTTTTTTCGTTAACAGAGCACGTTTTCAATATCAAAACATGAGCAAAAACCATTCATTTTGCCTTCGAAGCTCCAGGATACCGGCGTGCCCTCAGTCTTTTGGTGACTACGATGTTACTTTAGGCTCTCAAGATTGTTCGCGGTCATTTTGTTGACCATTCTTGACTTGAAGAACGGAAAGGTCAATGTAAAATAGCATAAAGACTGCCGGACAAACCAAGAAAGACGGCAGACTTCGCGAAAGATGAGCGCACCCGAAATTGCTCAATTCACAGGGTTGCACGAATGGTTTGGGATGGGATTTCAGTGTGTGCGGTGGCGTGAAAAGTGGGTGCATTGCAGGGTGTCCCAAAATTATAGGCGCCAAAATTCAAGAATTTATAAGGTAGAAGTAGTTTATCAAACTCACTTCACCCACTGTTAATTAGTCACACAAGTAGCTTTTCTAGCAATATGCATGGCGGCTGAAGTGAAATTTCCAATATCTTTTGGATGAAGGAGTCTCATTCAATGCCACTTGCAATCACTGGCATACGAGAGGCGGGAGGGCATTATGTAATCCCTTGTGATTCCTACAATATCCGTACAGAAGATCATTGAACGATACAAAGAAGATACAATCAAAGGCAAACCAGGAAGAGGCAGAAAAGGCCAGTGCTTCTGAAGATAAGACTACGTAGGTTGCCTTTTATATTTTGAGATTTGAGAACAGAAACAAATACTATTTATTGAAAATCGCTTTACTGCCTTTCAAAATTCTCCACATTAAGATCTACACACTTTTGCACGGGCTCGAACCAATTTTCCAAGCACTTTTGCCACTCTGATGTAGGTAACTCTAAAACATGGATTCTGAACGCAACAACGGCTTCTTCAGGTGTCGAAAAACGTTGACCTCATTTTATTTTTTACGTTCGGGATAAGAAGAAGTCACCCGGGGACTACATGGCTGATGACCTGTCAAATCGTTGTTTTGGGTGCTCAAAAATGCAGTTGTTTGAGCCGATGTGTGGGAGCTCGCATCGTCGTGGTGAAGAGTGATCCGTCTTCAGCAGTTGGTTTTCCTGATTTTTTGGAAGTCAACTGGCAAACAAATGGTGGTATACCACTCAGAATTGACTGTTTTGCTTGTCCCAGTGGTACGGTTCCGACATGTCCAGTATCTCCAAAAAAACAGGAGATCAAT